AAAGAGTGTTCTCTTGATTCACCAGACCGCGCTTAATGATGAGGGTGAAATTAAATGTACTGCCACCAATCGAGCAGGTCATATTGCTACCAGAGCTAAATTAATTCTCGAAGGTAAATTATCAAAATAAGGAATTCATAAACATGTGATTCAAATTTTAAATAAGAAGAATCCTGTATTCAGTCGAAGCGAATAAACATGATTTTTCATAATATCGATAAATTGTTGAATTATTTGTCCTAGCACCTCCACGGATACGATTACCACGTCAATATGAGGATGGTTTGCTTTTCGAGCAAGATGAGACTATTAGACTGAAAGTATCTTTAGCAGGTAGACCAACGCCTTTTGTCACCTGGTATCATGACGGAGAGCTGATATCCAAAGATACTAGACATATATTTGAAGTGATGGATGGTGAATCGGTACTGAGAATACCAGATGCCAAACGAAGTGATCGAGGAGAATACACTGTTAAAGCCACAAACAAATTGGGCGAAGATACCGCGTCTTTTCTGGTCACTGTGACAGGTGATAATGTTACATTAATTTAAACACTAGGATTTTAAACTGTCATAAGTTTGATAAGTTATTTATTTTTTCGAGTTATCGATTTTATCAACAGATCGACCCGCTGCTCCTGGTAAAATAACTGTTGCGATGACGTTAGGTAGATCGGTGACGTTGTCATGGAAAGAACCAGAAGATGACGGCGGATGTAAAATCGGGACTTATATTGTCGAATACTACAGAGTACGTAATTGAAACTATTATTTCCATATGTATAAATTTTCAGAAACTTGGCAATGATGTTTTAGATTGGCTGGGAGGTATGGCTTAAAGCAGTTACAAGCAGACGCACAACCGCGACATTAACAGAATTGATCGAAGGTTCTGAATACAAATTTCGTGTGAAAGCTGAGAATCCTTATGGAGTCAGCGATCCGAGTGAAGAAAGCGATGTTATCTTCATTCCAGACATTAAACGAAGGTACTTTATATTATCGATAAATATTTAAATTTAGCATATATTTAGTTACACAACAATGAATTCATAATTTTATATTGTAGAATCGTAACATCATCTTTGAATGAAAAATCGCAAAGTCATCGAGAGATCAGCAGATCTCGTGGCGATAAACGAGAGGTGAGTTTCACTATGCCAGCGCAAAGGACTAGAAGTCTAACGAGAGAAGAAGCTAAAACCCGAGACGACGAAAGTAATGGTCGCTTTAAATACGACGAGCGATCAGCTTCAGTGCAACGGCTCGCAATGCCAACTTCTATATTGGATAGACCGTCTAGAGCTGACAGTAGAGTAACATTTGCACTGGATACTTTGGAAAAAGAACAACCTCCGATTCCTCCAGCCAGATCAAGAGAGCACAATTCCACGAAGCAACAAGTTTTTCTTGCAAATCATACCAATCGATCAAATATTGCGACAAATACGAAAGACAAGGTAAGAAATAATCGAATGTAAAAAAACGCTATAATTAAATTCTAGATTAAAAGAAAGAAGAT